GGGCCCCCCCCCCCCGCGGGTTCAACTCCCCCCTGGGACGCTTCCGGTACGTGCTATAGTGCTATGTTTAGGTTTAGGTGGCAGGTGAAGTAGGCCACTGTTTGAGTTTGGAAGGGGGGCATGAAACATGAAATTTACGCGAGGGTTCAAGGCTTCAATGATGAGCATCACGGGAAGTCAGAAACCAGGCGTATCAGATACACGTGCCTTTGAGCTTCGTTCGGCATCTCAGTGCATATGGCTGACACTTCACTCGACAAAGATGCTCAAACAAACATACATAAACCAGGTGTATCTGATACGCCTGGTTTGTGACTTCCCGTGATGCTCATGATGCTGCGTTGCTTTTCTTCAGTCCCTCATTACATATACATGACGATGCAACAGCAGATTCAACAAGCTCACATGTTCATGACATCGACATCGATAGAAGAAACCAAACAAATCATGCAAGCAGCTTTGTTTTGCCTCTGGGACACCTTTTGGGCACCTCTTATGGCATCCACACTGGTTCAACTCCTCCGTGGAGGTTTTGGGATACGGTGCAACAGATTCAACAAGCTCACAGGTTCGTGAACACATCGGATGCATCGAACAGTGTGGCAAAGTCCAGCCACGCTTCCTTAATTATCGGGGCCTTCAATTCTAAGGTTGGCTGTGTCATTGCTGTTTGTGTGTCTTACATGTTCACAACGTTTTACCTCATGAGCATTTGCCTCACTCCGCTTGATGTCCCACCAGTCCGGATGCACCCCTGCTAGCTTGCGTCACCTACCCTCGGCCTCAAGTGTGGTACTGGGCTCGAGCTGGCCAATCCCGGTGGCGCCTGTCGTTCGTTGTGGAGGTGCTGCCTCCGGCCTGGAGCCACGGCAATCCCATCGACGTGCTGGGGGATGCCAGTGCCAGGCACTATGCGGACAGCTTGGCGGCGGTGGCCCTGGACCCGAACTGCGATGGCTTCCTGGTGATCTTGACGCCCCAGGCGATGACGGCGCCCACGGAGTGTGCCGAGGCCTTGTCCAAGTATGCCAAGATCCAAGGCCCGGGGGGCGAATTGGAGAGACGAAACAGTCTTCATACTTCTGTTGTTCTTTTTAGGCTTGCCTGCTGTTGGGCATTTTGAACTTGGCTTAGATGTGCTTAACTTTGCGGTCCTGCTTCTACAAGAAACAACACAAGTTCTCAAACAGGTACAGAGCTGGTTCTCAATGGGGCACTTGAAAGACTCTGGCCGTCGACCCGCGAAGGCTGATAGAATCATTGGGTGATGCCAGGTCAGGTAGGGGATGGGATTTCGTGGAGTCTCGGAGTGTCTTTTAGAAAAGTGAGTGTCCATTATCCATATATTGATTCTCCGATTTCGTTGGTAGGCAAGCCAGTTTTGGCGAGCTGGATGGGTGGACCCGATGTTGCTCCTGGAGCGAAAGTCTTGAATGATGCGGGCATCCCAACATATGCTTATCCAGACATGGCATGCAGAACCTTCAACTACATGCACCAGTACCAGACCAATTTGGAGAGCAACTATGACCGCATTGATTTAAAAGTTGACCTGGAAGCCGTCCAGGTGGGCCCCAGACTGCCAGTTTGAAGATTGTATTTCCTATCAGAGCATAGCGCTGAGCAACAGGGTGCATCTCGAACCGATTTGTGAAAGGACATGTTGTCTAGGTCATGTGAAGCTCTTCGCTGAGCTTGGGAACCTAGATCCGAATCCCAAATCCATGGAACCCCCTGCAGATGCTCCGCTGTCAGGCTGGTAAGTTGGAGGCACAGAAGCTCATCGGCAAGGTCCGTGAAAGCGGTCGGTCTTTGCTCACAGAGGCGGAGAGCAAGCTGTTGCTGAAGGCGAGGTGTGAACCTCCTTTTGGGACTTTTGGGGTTTGTCACACACGGGGGCACGTCGTTGTGGGGTTCGCCCAGTGAGCGATTCGACTGGCCGCTAGCCCCATTTCCCGGATCTGCTTCGCTTGTTCTCCGACAGAAGCACTCTTCCCCCAAACATCGAAGCGGGTGATGGGCCCCGCCGGTGCGCTCTGTCGAAGGCTTACGGCATCCCCGTGACGCCCTGCGAGCTGGCGAACTCCCCGGCCGAGGCGGCGAAGGCGGCGGAAGAGATGGGCCTCTGGGACTCGTTGTCATGGATGGCAGAAGCTATGGGACTCCAAATGGATCCTTCATGATCCTTCATATCAGTTAGATCAGGTAGTAGGCATCCTGACCACAGCCTCACTGTTTTGTTTCATGGATCCCCATCTGACAATGGCGTACAATGTTTGTAGTAAGTTTCCATCAGAACATTATTCTTTCTTGGGCACGTGTGGGAAGGGAGAAGAACGACAGCTCGTATGCAGCCAAGGCTTTCCCGTGGTTCTGAAGTTGAATTCCACCACGATCACTCACAAGGCCTGTGGACGGCTCAGCAGTGAAGGGTGGGCATGGTGCAGCAAAACGGACACGTTCTTCTTCGGAGTGAAAGGCCTTACTTTCGCTTTTTGCAGTGAACGCACCAGTACAGCGTAGGAGAACTTCTTCTCAATTGGTTTGCTTAACGGAGTGTGGTCAGGGTGTCGGAAGCCATTTCGGACGAATGCGCGAGGGTTGACACCAAGTCGTCCCGGTGTCGTATCCAAACTCGAACTCCGAATTTCATCTCTCAACCGAAAGAAACCAAGAAACCACCCCCAGGGGCAAAAAACACCAGCGACCACTGCGACCATGGTCACTACTGACCGTGGGGCGCCCATCTTCCTCCCAGCGGGACTGAGCTAGAAACGTTGCTGTGCATGTGAGGATGGGCCAAAAAACGGTGGCTGATCGATAGAACCGGGTCCGGTAGCGTTGATCAATTAATCCAGTCTAACTGGCCGCTGGTGGCTGCACTAGACTGCAGACCGATGTGGGTGGCGTGGTGCTCAACCTTCACACCAGCTATGCAGTGGAGAAGGCTTACAACGACATGAAGGAGAGCTGTGAGTGAGGCAGGTTAGCGTTAGCTTTGTCCGATTTCTTTGCGGAGAAGACAATGTTGTTGAGTATTGACTACATGCTTGCAGTAAAGAGATTTGGGTTTTGTGTCAAAGTCACGGTTTTGCGCCGGCTCCATTTCGTGGGGGCCCACAACCATACACTTTGTAACAGAAGTTTCTCTCCTGGATGAAAGGGTTGCCTGGAGGTGACCTTTCACCCAAAGCCTACGAGGGCATAGCTTATATAGCGGTTTTGAGCCCCACATTTGGTACGGCAGAAGGACAAATGCATTGAGGATATATTTTTCTATTCAATAGGAGCAAGAAGCTACCAGGGGCTCCTGGCATCGCTACTAGGAGCAAGGACGCTATTCGTAAGGTTGGAGGCTGAGAAGTCCGCGCCGGTGTCCGACTTTCCGAATGTAGTGGTCTGACTTTGGGGCTTCCTCAAGGCAAACGGTGTTCGTCCAATGGCACGTGTGACAGACTGCCCCGTGCCACGTGCGACTGCCAGGAGAGCGTGTCGCGCTTGGCCTCGCCGGAGGGTTTCGAAGGGGTCACAGTGCAGCCGATGATTCAGGTGAAGGGCTATGAAATCATCTTAGGTTACTGGGCAAGACGAGAGAATGGGGACTTGGACCTGAAAGCGGGAGAATATCTTTTTTTTTTCAGTCATGCAACCAAGATTGGGACGCGGAGGGTTAATGTAGAGTCTTGATGAGTACAGTTTTTTCAACCCAAGAGGTTTTTGATGTTGATCAAGAGTCAACAAATTCAGGCTCCATAGATGGACTTCCATAGATGTTGGCTCCCCAAATCATGGTTTAGTGATTTGGGATTTGCAGTGGAGTCGTCTGGCGCCGCCTTCGTCGTGGAGTCGTCTGAGGCTCGTCGCTGGATCCTCAACTGGGCCCCGTCTTGCTGTTCGGCACCGGTGGAGCGTTGGTGGAGGTGCGGAAGTCCACTCCGTCATGTGGGATTTTTTAAATAATATATTCCTTGGATGTAGTTTGGGGAAATGGGGTAGACTCCATGGGTATATATATATATATACATACATACATAGATGGATGGATGGATCGATAGATGGATCGAACGATAGATGGATCGAACGATAGATAGATAGACCGGTAGGAATTTATATGAACGTGTAAATTACCTTCCAGATGCTCAGATGGTTGTGACTTTTGGCATGGAGATCAGTGTTTCGATCTGTGATCCATGATCCGTAAGTCTGCCTCGGCAGCGGCTGCAGGTGTTCCAGGACTCAGCCGTGGCCCTGCCGCCGCTGAATCCCAACTTGGCCCGGAAGATGTTGCAGGAGACTTGTAAATCGCGACAATAGGGTGGCTGTCCGAGTCGTTCAATGGCTCTATCTAACATGAACTTACCAAGAATCATCAGATTCAGCAATCGCGAAAGGAAAAGGAACACTCATAGCTGGCTCTTTGATTGATTTTCATTCAGACACGAGATGTCGAGACGTTCGTTTGCGAGTGGGTCTAGGTGCTGCTATGCCTGGTGTTTGGAGCAGATTAGCAGGTTCGATTGTTGGGAAATGTGCGGTTGTTCCTTTGCTTTGTGTGACAAGCTGTCAAAAAGGAGACAAAGCTGTACAAGGCTCTTTTGGGTGTACGAGGCTGGAGTGACTGGCAATTCGGGGTTGAACGACTAAAGCTTCTCAATTTGGTTGAACTCCTAGTGCTGTTTGGATCCATGTCAATACAGTGTGGTTTCCAGGCACACCCATCTTGGAACGATATATATATATTATATATATATTATATATATATATGTGACCACTCATGGGTGTGACTCACAGATTTGTGTCCTGAGAGGCATGGGGGCAGTGGACCTGGATCAGTTGATTCAGATCATGGTTCGCTTCTCTGTTCTCCTCTTGGACCTGCCAGAGATCAAGGAACTTTGTCTTGTTCGTTGGCGATTGGTTCGAAAAGACTCGGTCGTTGATGACTCTGCAAATGAAACCTTTGCAAGTCCTTCACAAAGCTGTGGGCTATTCTTGCAAACTTCTGGATTCTCGAGCTGTAATGTTGTATGAGTTGCATGTCGTAATTCTCTTCTCGGTACCTTGCAGGAGTGTGACATCAACCCGTTGATTGCCTCCTCTGAGAGTATTCTCTCTTTGGATGCTCGAGTCTTGTTGCACGATCGGGATGTGGAAACCAGAGATCTGCCACAGCCCTCCATCCGTCCATATCCCCATCACTACGTCAATGTGATTGATTTGGACGATGCCTCGAAGGTGAAACTGCGGCCCATCCTGCCAGAGGACGAAGGCGTTCGGCGGTTGGCCGTGTTGGTGTTTGCTGCGCGGAACGCGTTCAGCGGGGCGTTCATCGATCCATGGTGTCATGGTGTAGGTCTGTGATTTGTTCGTCCAGCGATCGTGTCATGGTCAGTCTGCCTTATGCCTCCTTCGAAGTCGCGTCGCAGGCATGATGCGCTCCTTCTATGCCCGGGCAAGTTGGCCAGAGGGATGTAAACCCGCTACGATGCCCAATGAAGCGGAGAACGAGGTGTGCAGCCTGGACCGACAGCATCTCATTCGCACCTGCTTCGTGGACTTCGACCGCTCCATCGTGCTGGTGGCGGAAGGTGTGACGGTCAACGAAATGTTGCTTTTGGTTTCAAAGCGGCGGGATGCATCATTCCAGGAAATGCCTTCCCCCCACCCAGCAACAGTGGAACATCCTGAGGGCCTTTTCTTTGCTTACCAAACCGCCGCAACTACATTGCAGTGCTTGCTGCTTTTTGGTGTTTCTGGCCATCCACAGCCAAACATGGCAGGTCACGAGGACGGGGAGAAGTGTATCATGGGCGCGGGCCGAATCAGCAGGGAGGAGATGTCAGATGATGTGACCTTTTCTTTGCAAGTTTTGCCCTCCTGCCGCAAGAAAGGCGCGCGTTTTTTTCACCGTGCAGTTTCCGCTGGCAACTTGCACGGTTGTGGGATCACCGTGTAGTGAAAATACAGAAATCAACAAGGACACTAGACAGTGCGTGGGAATCCTTCTGCATCCAATCAAACTGATTCTCCGAACCCACCGGTGTTGCCAACTATTTTTTTCACCATGGCAGCCATTCCCAGTCTCCCAATTTGCTCTTTCGACTCCGACGGTGAGACGGCTCACTGTGAGGGCTTGGCTCGAAAATCATGAAGCGCCTCATTGAGTTGGCGGGCTTGGAGGGCGCTGCTTGCATTAAAGCTGATGTCTTCTCTGAAAATCGTCGGGCTTTGCGTTTCTTGGAGGTGAGGGCTTGAGCCAGACCTGCAGCGAAATATAACTAACTGATAAGGTGCAGAAGTGGTTGAGGAATGCAATTGCAAATCCAAGGAGATTTGTTTGGTCTGCCAGCTTCCGAAGAGATGATCGCTAGCAACTAGCAAGCCTACTGTAAATTTGAAGACAAAGACACAATATGAGTTAGTTAGAGCGACGCAGAGAGTGAGAGAGAGAGAGAGAGTGTGACACAGTGTGACGCAGAGTGATAGTGAAAGGGAGGAGCAGGAAAGAAGAGAGGTATATAGTGAGTCTACAGCAGAAAGAAAACACGAGATGTAAAGAGATCAACATCTCTGTTCGACAGCAGAGAGGGGGGACGACGCTTTCAACAACATGTCTGCTGCCGTTCTCAACAGGGCGCTTGAGCCTACTAGCCAACAGGAACAAAAAGCGCGCGCAACAGCAGCTTGGCATTTTACATGGAAGCGGAGCAGTGATTTTGCAAACGTTCAGGAACGCTGCCAACGCCACAGAACGAAGCACGAACACACAATACAGAGCCAAGACCAACTTTTGACAAGCGCGTGGGGCAGTGGCTACCTAGCGCGCACGCTCAAAGCAACCTTTGACAAAAGCACAACAAGGAAACCTTTGCCACTTGAGAGCTTGAGCTGGCCAAGTACAAAGCACACACCGGACAAAGCAACCACTAGCCTGTGACCAGCGGACCATTGCAGAAACACTTGCAACTACACTCCAGCGAAGGAACAACATACACTAGGAGACTAGCACTTAGAATATTGAAGCTATAGAATTTATCAATTAAATTTTTCGCCCTTTCAGAGAGCAGGGTTTTTGACATTTGCAGATAGAATATGGCACGTGCAGATAGAATACTGATTGTACGGAGACGCCATGCGTGAACCTCTGCTCCAGCATGCCCTCAAAGCTGTGTGAAGTGACTACTGAATGTGATGCTGTGCACATACTGTACCAAAGTATACCTCAGTATACCATATTGCATCAAGCCAGAATGACACTGCTATCCAACAAAGAAACGCATGGCAGGCAGCAGCATGCAGTGAATAGCACACAACTTGCAATACCCTTTACAGTATATACGATGAATTCAGCGTCGGCCCATGTACGGGCAACCGCCGAGCTATTGGAGAAGTCTGCCGCTCAGGCAAGACGGGGATAATGTTTGTATTCTAACTGCATCCCCTTCTGTGTAGGGGTGCACTCAGGAGCACCCAAAATGGTCAAAAACATGTGTCCGTATGCGGTCAATGTTGGATACTGTAAACAAAGAATAATGTTTGAATGCTCTTTTTCTTACAATGGATTTGTTTAGGAACAAAAGCTCTTTCAAGAAACTATGTAGAGTATACTGTATATATTTTAATATATATATACATATATTCTAACTGCATCCCCTTCTCTCTAGGGGTGCAATGAGATAAGCATGGGCAAGTGTGTCCTATACAACTTCAGGTGCTTACCATATCTACTGTACAGTACAGTAAACCATAACTCAAAGGACTGGTAACCCCCTGGAGTTCTGAAGGAACATATTCTAACTGCAACAACTTGACGTAAAACACAATACAGTACAAAGTACAAAGTTCTCTGGTTGCAGGTGCGATCTTCACAGGAATATGCAAGGGATCGCAAGTCCATGAAGGCACCTGAAGCAGTTCAGCCTCCTCTAGCTCCTCCTGCTGAACCACCTGGTGAAGGCCTGTCTGACCCTGAACCAGAGGATGCAGAACTGGAACCACCATCCAAACCAACAAGCGATCCTTGGATGTGCCAAGTTCGAAGTCCAACTTGTTCCCTACTGTTTGGTTTTCAATTTCAGGTGATAGTGTTGGCCTACAGGAGCAGCATGTTGCTCAAGCACCCAATGTCTCAACAACAACTAAGGACAATATTACCGTTATGCAGCACTTTGTCAAAGTCAGCATTGGTGGCTCCATGCGCAAGTTCATGAAAAAGACCTATGGCAATGGCAAGAAGGCTCATCAACCATTGGTGGTTTGGGCCTGCGAGGTGTTTGAGGAGCTAGCACAGAAAAAAAATTCCGCATTCGATACAGCAGTCGCTTTGAGACAGCCATCGGAACGCAAAGCTATCTTGGAAGCTGCTGGGTGCGAGAGCAAGTTTTGGAACCCGGGCAAATACTCAAGACTTGCCACACAACGAGCCGCGCTAGTCAGGCAGCTTTGTGATGGTTTTGATAAGCTCTTGGAGGACCAGATTATCACAACCGTCCTTGGCAGGGCCATTGGGGATGCAAGTGGCATGAAGATGAAGGCCACTGCGACTGGCTTTTCTGCCTCGTTTCAAGGATCCAAGCAGGTGGTTGAACAATCGTTTCGATCCTTTGCTGACTGCGTGGATTGGCTTTTGGCTATGCAGGTTGCAGAGAAGGAGGGGATGGGGTGCAGGGTAGTAGTGAGGTGAGTTAGAGCTTGGGGTGCATATTCTAACTGCTGTTTATGGCATGTAGCTGCATGAAGAATGCGACAACAAATATATACAGTAAAGGAATACAATACTGCAACGCTGTCATGTACAGTACAGTAGGGCATCTTGATACGCGAAACAAACTTTTGCAGCCTCCGGATGCTCAACCCCCTTCAGGGTGGACGTCTTCCTGAGTCCATCAAGGCAGTGGTGAAGGAGAGTGAGGGGGATGTCAAAGCCCTGAAGCTTATGCAATCGCTTGCAAAACAATCTGACCTTCCAGAGATTCTGAACAACATTGGGGCAGAATCACAATCCAAGCCAGACCAGCTGCAGCAAGTGCGTGACGTTACTGATGATTTCCTGTCAAATACTCTTCCTCAAGGCCCCGAGCTACCCAAGAGTCCTATCCAAATCTACAAGGGCCTGATCAAACGCTTGTCTGCGACCAAGGTGGGGAAGGACAAAGGCATGAATCAGGTGGGTGTGCTTGCTGGCAAAGCACAGCGTGTGCAAGATGTGATACTTGGATCAACCGTGCTGGAGGTGATAGAAAACCAAGAGGTCATTTGCCGGTGGCAAGAATTGAAGTATGATGTCATTGGCGTGGTGACATGGGGCCAAGGTGAACGTCAAGAATATGAACACCAGCTCAACCAAGTATGGGGCCGCCAGGAACAATTGGTTTTACTCATCATTGATGGGATGGAATCTCCACGAGCATGGCTTGCAGAACGGCCGACGGGCTCTGATGAGGTATCCTTTAAAGCTGTGAGTGTGGATTCATCAGGGGCCAACCGGCTGAAGGGGGACGACTTTGTGGTTTTGCCTGCTACCCAGGTGGCAGTCTCTCTCCATGACCAGGCAAGGTTCGACACCAATAAGCCGATACGGGAAAGATGAAGTGATAGGGGATGAGAAGTGATAATTGATAACCTTATAAAAGTGATGCTTTTTGTATGCAGTTAGAATATGACCACCTCCCATCTCCTTTTGTTTACATACTTAATGAAGGCTCCAGCACCAGGTCCGCCAGTGAATTAGATTCTAATTCAGGTCTTTCATTGATTTTATATTCTAACTTTTGGTGTGCAGTGCAACACGGTATAGCAGGCATCTGCACTGGTTTCATCGGCGGTGCATGACTACGTCAAAGATTTGGCTGCTAAGTCCGTCGCACTGGGAACTACATCCTTTGAGAAGCACAGCGTGCCACCAGATGGTTTGCGCTGTTACCACTCTATCCTGGGGGCCTTACACTTCTCAACTTGGCAAACAATATCCCGGAATGAATCTGGCTATGCTGTGAACCGCAGGACTGTTCAAACTGAGTCTGCCAATGCCTATGCCCTACGGGATTTGGCAATCAAGAACACAGATCCAGCAAATCCATTGTTGTCGAGGATTGCCCGTGAAGCCAGTTGCCATTTGACAATTGACATTGCCGAACTCTCTTGGTTGGGCACAGTTCTGAACCTAGCAATTCGCTGCACCATCGATGAACAGGCAGGGCTCTTCATAAATGTTCCACTACAGTACAGTAGATGTTTTGTAGTGTGCCAAGATAGCAATGGCCATGCTGTAACACAAACTCGTATCTTTCAAGAAATTCTGGGCAAGGAGCCACCTATCAACCTGAAATGTGAATCAAACACTTCCAGTTTGCAGTTTGGCCTAGCTTGCAGTACTGTGCTATAGTCTGTAGTTTTTTTTGGCTGGCCCCATGTGTGAGGCCTATGATCGCGTGAAGGAGTACTCAGTGACATCAATCCAGAAAGACGCTGTCTATGGTGTGAACCGGTCGCCAGATGTGCATTTGCTCTACCAATGGCAGGCCAACAAAGAAACGGGCCAATTGTATGCTCACTATGACTTTTTACTTCCCGCTCGCGAAGAACTAGCAGCTACTAGCACAATCCAGCTGCCGCAAGAAGCACCTTTCCAACCACTGGTTGACCCAGACGAGATGCATGGATCATCAGCAGAACATGACCTTTTGCAGCCGCAAGCAGCACAAGATGAACAACCAGAGGTGTCATCAGCAACAGCTGGCACTCAACGTGAAGCCACACCAGCACCAGCCAAGACCAAGTCATCACAGCATTCAGAAACACAGCAACATGCTGAACAGCCAGCAGCACACGCAGCCACGACTGGCAGTGACCCAGCACCAGCACC